ATTGAAGGAATCCAGAGCATGTCAAACCTGCAAAATCAAATCAGATGGGTAAATGTTGTAGACAGCATCTTGGCGGCACCTTTCTTTTCATGCACTTCAGGGACTTTCCTATATTTTCTCTTATTTCCCACTACTACATTCTTCCTACAGATAATTATATCTATTTCTGCTTTTCATTATTTTCAAATAGTATATAGTAGCCATTCACATCCATGACAGCCTGGTGCATGTTGTGCTATAGTGTTAGTGTTGGAGTCATTGGGTTATCTGGCCTGTTAGGCTGAGTCACCAGCTGCAGTAGGCCAAGGTATGCGGAAGTCAGAAGAGAAAATAGATTGGCGTAAACAAGTTTGTGCCGTGCGGTGCAAGGGAATGTTGTTTTGGTGTTTGTTAGTGCCGTGTGCAACAGCTGTATAGTAGCGTGTGCAAAACAAAGTTAGCACGTGTAATATGCTAATATGCTGTGTCATAACAAATGTGGTTGGTGTAAGGTGGTCACCAGGTGCCTATAAACCCGCCTTCTGATAACACAATAAAAGGGATGCTTCGTCTTTGTTCGAGGCTCCCATCCCGAGGAAACCACGTGTACGTGTCTGTTCTTCAACACCCATGGGAGACCGCTGGGCGCGTGAAAACCCGCAAATGGTGACCCCGACGTGATTCAAGTTTCTGAGCACGTCTCTGGGTACTGCAACTCAGGGCCGGTCGTCAGCTAGACGAAGCACCCTCCCAAAACTGCAACTCAGGGCCAGTCGTCAGCTAGACGCACCCTCCCAAAACTGCAACTCAGGGCCGGTCGTCAGGATAGACGAAGCACCCTCCCAAAATATTACATCTCTTGGTATCCTCTTACTTACTCAGCGGAAGAGCTCACTGCAACTCAGGGCCGGTCGTCAGAGCTAGACGAAGCACCCTCCCAAAACCGTGAGTATGGGGACAGAATTCTCTAAGCCTCAGGTTGCGCACCTCCCAGAACTTAGGGAATTGACCAAGTCATCAATAATTAAATTAGGAAAAACAATGGGAAAGATTTGCTGCTTCCCACTAAAAGGGATTTGATCCTCCTCTTAAAATATGTATATCTAAATTGCCTTGCATAGCCCGAAGGAGGATCCCTAAAAATGTCTGTGTGGGTTAAATTAGGAAAACTGTGACTGTTAACTGTTTCAAATCCAAAGGAAAAAGGATTTTAAAGTCTGCTAGAAATTCTGCTTAAAATAAGCCACAAAAAGGAAAAACCTCACTCTGTTTGTCTGGCCAACAAACAGAGTGAAGAAAAAGAATTGTGTTTGTTTGTTTGTATTCCTCCTTCTCTCTGTGTGTCTATCTACAAGAGCCTTTCGAAACTCAAGTCTGCTTGTGTGGGGAAATAACTTTTTAAAGTTACTTTTCGTATCCTATCACTTATTGGTGATGCTACTATGAAACTTTTCTGCAACAAATAAGCATTTTCTAATCTCTAAAATGATGTGGTCTATTTTAGAATAAATGTTCTCCTACCCTTGGCAAGTTGCACACCTTAAAATATTAGGCTTTTAAAATTATTTGGAGTTTTCAGCATTTTCAAACTGCCTGCAAACTACCCCCCTTCCAATTCTTTTCCTGCTCTTTGTTCTCCAAACCTTTTGTCTGCCTCTCCTGGTAGAGTCTGTCCAGAAAGGGGGGGGAGACCTTGTTCTTGTATCTTTCAGCCCTGAAACCCTCTCCCAAGCCTTTGGAAGCACAACACACAGACCCAGATGCTGCCTCCATCCATTTGAGCCATGGGATTGAGTTTGAATCCAGCCATCCACTAAAAAGCCACCATGCATCTTCCCAAGTCCTACCATTTCCCCAGCTGCCTGTGAGAGCTGCAGAAGGAAGGTGGTGCCATGTGAAGCCTCAGAAGAGAAAATTAAGACTGTGGGGGGAGGGTGGAAACTCATTGTAAACTTTTCTTTCTTGCCCCATTTGTATTGTAACAAGCCAGTTGAATGTATTAATGGAGAGATGGGAATATGTGGCAGAACAAATACTGAACATCTTGGACTTCTATCTGGTGGGAGGGAAAACTTTTCCAGAATGTTTGTATTGCCTGTTTTGTAGAAATAGCTGCATATGCACACACACACACCATTCACACCATTCAGAGTCTATCCCCTCCACCTACCTTTAGTAAAGTTCCCCCCAGGCTGATTTTTGCTCTATTGCACCAAAGCTTTGTGGGACCAACTTCCAACAGATTCCAAGGGGGAGGGAACTAGGCCCCCTCAGGTGATTTGCAATTCATATGCCCTGACTAAGGAAGCAACAGGGAAAATCCCAAACTTCAGCCCTGAATATTTTGCACTGTTGAGCTCAGATTTGAATTCCTAGAACTCATTATGTGCAATTTAAAGAAAATTTAATAGACTGGCATATTGGACATTACAAACCTGGATGCACTGAATTAAGAGCTAAGGCAGGAAACAACCCTTGAAATTGGGCAGCCAGTGGTCATGTACTAAGGAAAACCATGGCTGTGAAGAATTTTGGGAGGTATGCAAACCTGACTGGAAGCTAAAGGTGACATCCAACATTTGAAAATGATTGGCACAGAATATTGGATACTATAAATTTCTTTTCCATCTAACAAAATTGGGAGCCACTAAAGGGATCTTTTTCTGCTGCCTCCATTAATGTCTTCTTTTTCTTTTTTTGCTTAACAGTTCAAAAGCTTGCCTACCAAGTCTCCCTGACCAGATCAATTTTAATGTCATATATTTACACACTTAAGGCACAAAGTGGGGATATTGATGGAAGTTAGCCCCCCCAGAAGGAAATATTAAAAAGGGCAGAAAAATATATTTTTCCTCAAAAGGACTTTTTAAAAACCAAACCTGGCCCCAAATCTATCTCTCTGCCCCAAACAAGAGCTAGGCCCATACAGATGCAAATGTAACACCATCAGAAAGTTGGAGCCAGAGCAATCAAGAAAACAAAAGAGAAGATCTGCATACCCCACCCAAACTCTAGGAGTCAGCCCCATCACCTTGGAAGCAGGATATGATAATGCAATTTCCTGAAGAACCATCTTTCTGCAATAAACTGTAATCCTCAGGAACTGTCACCCACCAACAGGTCAATTTAGTAACTACACCTAACACTGCAGTTCAGTTACCCTTGCTAACCAAACCAGCCTTCACTTTGCCAAGCGACACTGAGGATGACTTCCTATAAAGCGCAACCTCCTTATTTTTTAAATAAAACAGAAAAGTAGGAGATGTTGGAGTCATTGGGTTATCTGGCCTGTTAGGCTGAGTCACCAGCTGCAGTAGGCCAAGGTATGCGGAAGTCAGAAGAGAAAATAGATTGGCGTAAACAAGTTTGTGCCGTGCGGTGCAAGGGAATGTTGTTTTGGTGTTTGTTAGTGCCGTGTGCAACAGCTGTATAGTAGCGTGTGCAAAACAAAGTTAGCACGTGTAATATGCTAATATGCTGTGTCATAACAAATGTGGTTGGTGTAAGGTGGTCACCAGGTGCCTATAAACCCGCCTTCTGATAACACAATAAAAGGGATGCTTCGTCTTTGTTCGAGGCTCCCATCCCGAGGAAACCACGTGTACGTGTCTGTTCTTCAACACCCATGGGAGACCGCTGGGCGCGTGAAAACCCGCATGTTAGAACTGGCAAGCTTTAAAATATGAAATCAGCCTTAGGACCTACAGTCTTTTGACATTTTCCATCTACAAGCATGAAGCAACTAGATGAGTTATTTCAAATTTAAATAGTCCTCAATTTACAACCATTTGTTCAGCAACCATTCAAGATTGTGATGTCATAGAAAGAAGGCATTTTAGAACGATGCTCAAAGTTATGGCTGTTGTAGTGCCTTCATGGTTACATGATGAAAATTGGGAACTTGGCAGCCTACCTGCACTTAGGATTGCAACACTGCAGCTCACCCCATCTACTATCTCCCCCCTCCCCCATCTTTGCCATTTTGATTCCCTGCTGACCTTTGCAACCACCTTGTTCCCAGTGTTGATGAGGTTTGCCTGGCCTGGCTGCTGGCTTTGCATACTGGAGAAGAAAAGGCTTAAAGGAATTCAAGCGTGTTAAAACATCCCTTTGCACTGGGGAAAAGAAGAAAAAAGTCTAAAGGAGCCTTTTCTGCAGTGAGCTGGACAGAACTGGGGCTGCTCTTGCCTTTTTTTCCTTTTTCACAAAGCAAAACCAACCAAAAGGGGCATTTTGCACTCCTATTTCATTAAGTTGCTTTGTGTGTGTTTTTTCTTTTTTACTGTATTAAGGCCTGCCAAGGCCGGGCATGCCTTTTGAATAGCAGGAGCAAGAAGGCAGTGTTGAAGGTCAACTGTGGTAGTTGAGGGCAGAGTGGCAGCAGTCTCAGAATGTAGGTTTGTGAGGGTGACTGGGACCGAGCTAGGGCAGCTGCAGCTTCCCAGGGTGTGGCAAACTGTCGAAGCTATGTGGTTCTGTGACTGCTTGCTATCTCACAAGGCAGGGTGCAGAGATGTCATGGGGATAGCTGGTTGGGGAGAGTTGGAAACAATCCCCTTACCTTACTGAAATTTGGGACCGAGAGGGATGAAGACCAGAATAGCTTGGATTAGTAAGGGTTCTTGGTAATAACTAGCGAAATTTAGGTTGTAGTCACTAAGTGATGTGGTCATGTGATCTTTTGTTTTACTGCCAAATTGCTTAGTAACTGAAACAGACCAGTTGTGACTGTAAATTGAGGATTACCTATATAAAAATATTTTTTATGCATATTTGGAATTCTCTCTGATGTATAGATAAGCAATAATTCCTCCTCTTCCTGATATATATAGGTTAGAAATGAAAAATATTTAGCCCATAAACCAAAAATTGCTTACAATTTGCTGTTTCAGGTTTTGCTTCCATATAATTACTAGAGGAATCAGCATAAAGCCAGAGGAGCTTCTTTTGTTTTATAATGTGTAATTATGTTCCTTTGTTGCTTTTATCTTATTTTTTTCTTTATCTATTTTGATATTCAGAAGTTGCAAGGATCTTTGGAGGTTGCATATGGACAGGCTGATGAAGCAGAGGGTTCAGAAGAAGTATTTGAAGAATTCTTTGAATGGAAGAATGCTAGGTTGGAGAAATTCAGTTGGGTTAGGAATGCTACAGATACTTCTTTACAAAATCTTGTATTAAGTTTCAGCAACATAATTCAGGTAAAAAAGATATAGACATATATATATATATATATAAGCTTTGTGTTCAAATTATAATTTGCAGCTAATCTATGTTTATATTGAAGGTCTGTTATGGAGGTTGTGGTCTAATTCTTTCTAGATTTTTTGCATCAGATAAATTTGCAACTTTTCAGCACTGCAGCTAATGGTCACCTGGAGAGAAAGGAATCTCATTAAAAGGCAGCAAAATGTAGAAAAGCACTCTACTTTTTTTTTTTTTTTTTGCTATGTGTACTGCAGTTGAATACAAACAAGAAGTTAATTGTTGCTTTTGCAAAAAATATATTGAGAGATCCAAAATGGAACACTTCATTATATAAAATAACCATTAATATTTGATCAGAGAATTGTGGGTCCAAAATAATTTTTCCAGGAGAAAATTAGTACCATGATTACATTTAAAATGACAGCTGGGCTGCATTCATGTCTTGCTGGGGAATAATATGATTGACAATATGAAAAGGAATCACACTGATTCTTAAATTGTTAAAATGAATGAACACCATTTCATGGGATTTGGTCTAGAAGAAATTGAGGTGTTTTAGCTCCCATTCCATTGGCTTGGAAATATGATGCAAACATACTGCATATCCAAATATACCAAGGAGAAAGCACGATCCAGTTTTCAGAGGCAAATTGTGTTTCCTTGAGCATCTTGCCAGTTGAGCTATAGCTTATTCTTTCAAGTACCAGATAACAAAACAACTGATTACTGTTCCCCTCTTGTCATTAGAAGCGAATAAGTGTGGAACAACTATAACATAGCACTTCTGTAAATTTTTCTGGTGCATGAAATCTGGTGTTGAAAGGGGCTTTTCCTTGGTTATAAAAAAAGTTTAAAAAAAGAACTTAAGGTGATGCAGAGAGATGGATTTAATCAACTGGAACTTCTTCAACTTGAGTGTTGACAAGCTGCGTTGGAGTGTGATGGCTTTATGTACAAGTTAGTATTGACAGTAATTTTTGGAGGACTTGGCTATTTCTTCTTTCGCTTTCTTGGTTAAAAAGATAGAGGTTGCTTAAGGCTGAATGGAGCCAATTCTAACATTGCAGTTTTCTCATTCGCTATTATCTTTTTGAGTATTACTTTGCAGACTTGATTAATACTTCTTTGTTTGTGTCTCTTTTTTTTCCTGTCAAGTTTTTTGATACAGGCTCAACTGTATTAATGAAATCTGAGGATGTAGGTGTCAATGTAGATGAAGTTCTTAAGAATGTCGAGCTTGATATTTCACAAGAATTTGACATGTTTTTAACAGTAAGCTATATTTCTATATTTTTCCTTTCACATAACAATCTCTTTTTTTTTTTTTTCAAAAATGCAGCTGGACTGTTTTTTCTTTTTTCAGACAAGAAACTTCATCAGTTGTGATGGGGGGTGGGGAGAGGGATGGAGGATAGGTACTGACAATTGAGACTGGGTGATGAGGGATGGAAGGATAGGTTCTGACTGAACGGTGGTGGGGCGGATGGAAAGATACTAATTAAGGATAATATTTGTAGCTCAGGATTGACATGATAGATCCTTGGTGCTCTGTGAACTTGCTTGTTTTCTTGTAGATGTTTCTTTACCTAAACCAGGTAACATCATAAGTCCTAGCTCTGATGACATTACCTAGTTTGGATAATGAATTGTCTGCAAAAAAAACAAGCAAGCTCAGTGAGAAACAAGGATGGAAGGATGGGGGGGGGGAATCAGGGAGGAGAAATACAATCCTTCCCCTCCATCTAGTCATAACTATCCTTCCATCCCAATTATTGTCAAGGTTGTGGCTGCTCCTCATCTTGATTCCCAAAATTATTCTCATAGTGCATTACCATAGGAGTCTGCCACATCAGTTACTTCTTCCCAATCATGGAATTAATATTGTATATCATGAGGCACCATATAGGAGTTTTGAAGTGATTTAGTTTTGAAGAGTACATAGTTATTGGTAACTCTTTAAAGAAGCTGTATCTTCTTCTGGATTCACATGGCTATCCTCTACAGCTGCAGCACAATCTCAGAAAAATACATCGAATTTAAGAAGGTGCTGACAACTCTACATTCCAAAGCATCCTCAAATCCAGATCTCCGCATAGCTGGAATAGCAGATGTGCTAAATATTGATAATACATTTTAATGTAATAAGATTTTTGTAACACAATAGAAGAGAATTTTGAAAATAATTTCATTACCTTTGTGTGCATTAAGTACTTGGTTAAACCCCAGGTCTTTTTATGCAAAGCAAGCTGCTGTTAGTTTCTTGAAAAAGGTTCCAACTTGCTTCTCCATTTTTCTTCAAACTTGGAGAAAAGGGCAAAGGATTTCTCACATTCAGTTCTCTGTATTTAAAAATATGTGCACTTCCTCTTTTAGAAAAGCTTTGCTTCCAAGACATCATCTACTAAACATTAAAATACAAATTGATTCAGTAGTAAGAATATATCACAATGTTTGTAATAAAATATTAAAGCCATAAAGCTAACCATAGCAGAAGAAACATAGCATAGCATACAGGTAGTCCTTGCTTAACGACTATTTCTCTAGTGGCTGAAGTTCCAACAGTGCTGAATCAATAGTATTTACAACTGGTCCCCGAAATTAGAGACATTGCAAGTATGGATGTAAATTGTGTGGAGGATTATATTTCTGTTGTGTTACTCTAAATGGGAGAATCTTATTTATATTTGTGAGAATTTGCTTTATGAATGGTGTACTTTCTATTTTATTCAAACAAAAATTGATAACCCATCATATTTTTCCATTTAGAATGCACTTCATATTTTTAAAATCAACAAGTTTTGCAATGTTATTATAGATATTTATTGTTACTCTATAATTCCTTCTAGGAGCTAGATGAAAAAGACAAAAAAGTCATCTTAAACATGTATAATGTGGTTATGCGGAAGATCCTTCAAGAACAAGATCTTATAAATGCAGTGAATCAAAAATATCTTGAAAGTTGTGAGGTCAGTTGTTTAGCTGCTTCTTTGTCATATCCTATAATGTAGAAAGTCATTAACAGCTTTTTAAAAGTTACTTATGCATTATGAGTAATTTCAGTAGGAAAAAATAACGTTTAACGAGTCATATAAATATAACAGTGCAACCTAGCCTTTATGTTCACTTTTATCACTTAAAATGTGATCTGAAAATATTAACACTTATATTGTAATGCAATTTGTGTATAAGGAGTAATATTCCTCAAAGTATAGGAGCTTTTTCCATTTTGAAGAAATCTTCTCATTAATAGTGTGTTTTCTTTTTCAGTTCAAAAACCAGATTGTGGAATGGCTGGATATGACTCCTAATATTGATGATTTGTTACTGATAAAGAAGAGAATGAAAGACGTAAAGGCACAGCTGAGATGGAAATTAGTAGAAAAAAACAACTTGGAAGAAGTATGGCAGTGATATTTTAATGTTTTAAGATTATTATTTCTTATTTTCCATAAGAAATGGTGGATGATGACATAGAAAATGTTGCTTTCTAGCTCTGGAGAAATGTTGTTAGGGACATAATTTATTCATATAAATCCAAATGAAAGCCGAAAGGGATTTATTTTAGAACAAAATTGGAAAGAAACAAAAATGGCAGATTTCTAAACAATTTATTTTGCACTTAGTGTTTCACATTGCTAATCTCCTCATTCTTGATTATTGCATTTTAAGAAAGTACATACTTTTTACATGTATTATTGATTATGCAGTTAAAAACAACAGATACTCCATTTGTCTTGCAGCAGGTTATCATAACTCCGAAATGGATACATTAAACAGTATGAGATTGAAAAGCTGTAAAATGTTGATTGTATAGTTAATGTAGAATTGGGATGAAAGAGTTATGAGGATACACAGGAATTAAGAAACATGAAGGGAGATACTGAATAACAAAAAGCACTCAAAACTATATAAATACCCATGGAGAAACAGGGCTAAAGTGAAGTACCGCCCTCTAGGGCTAATCCAAAGGTCTGTTTCATTCAACATCTAATTTCATATAATGACTAAAAAATCAATCAGTGCCACATGACAGCAACAAAAAGTACAGTAGTTCTCAGCCCCACCTCTAGTCTTGAAAATTTAAAATACCCATATCCTCTGTTAATATGTCTGATAGAATTAATATAATCATTCCCAGTATTTTGGTTTTCAGATCCTTACTTGTATATGGTGTCTTTGTGGCTGAAAGTGTTTTGCAAACTGTGTTTAACAACAGCTGCCATCACCTACAGCCATGTTGGCTGATACTGCTGGCAGTTATAAAAGCTGGGATACAACTAATTGAGAAAATTCCAGATTGAAAATTTAGCAGAATAAGTAGATCCCACAGATTTAGAAACTGCAAGCTTAGAATTATTCCTGGTTTACAACATTCTGACCTCTAGAGAGATCACTTAAAAGAAAAAAGGCTCATGTCAGTTCTAAAAACATAAGCATTTTGTGTCTCATAGACATAGAACCATAGGGCTGGAAGGGACTTTGGAAATCTTATCCAATACCCTGACCAAGGCAGGAGATCTTATACTATCTGGGGCAAATGGATGTCATCTTTTCTTGAAAACCTCCAGCGATGAAGCATCCACAATTCCGGGAGGCAAGCTGTTCCATTGATTAATTGTTCTCATTGTCAGGAAATTTCTTTGGCTTGGATCTCTCTTTAAAAGTTTCCACCCATTATCCTGCTCTCAGGTGCTTTGGGAAATAACTCAAGCCTTCTCTTGATTGCCCCTCAAATACTGGAAGACAGCTATCATGTCATCCCTAATCTTTCTCTTTATTAGGCTAGATGTATCTACTTCTCTTAACCATTCATCATATAATTTAGCTTCCAGATCCCTTATAATCTTTGTTACTCTTCTCTACATTCTTTCTAGGATATCAGCATCTTTTTTGTATAGTGATAACCAGAAGTTGACACAGTATTCCAAGTGTGGCCTCACTATTGCAGTATAGAATGATGGCATCGTGTCTTGTGATTGTGATGATGCGGCTCTGTTGATGGAGCCTACGGTTACATTGGCTTTTTGGCAACTGCAGCTTACCAAAGCTCCTTTCATTGGATAGTGGCTGGTAGTAATATAAATGGGAGGTACTATGGAGGCCATTTAGTTCAACCCTAATACCATCTAGATAAATGGCTGCAGAGCCTTTGTTGAAAAACTTGGTGAGGGAGCATTTGTCTGAAATGGTATAGGGTTTCCTGCCTGAGCAGGGGGTTGGACTAGCTGACCTCCAAAGTCCCTTCCAAATTTATTATTATCTATAACCTCGGGATAAGGTTGTTCTACTGTTTAATAGCTGTTATTCAAAAAGCATTGAAAGCACTATGGAGCAGTATATAAGTGCTATTGCTAATGTTATAGTTAGGAAATTTCTCCTGATGAGAGTTTGGATCCTCTAGTGGGTTCTCAGGAGCTGAGGAGAATAAATCTGTAGATTTCTTGACCTCCAAATCTACAGTTCCCAAGTGTGTGCCTTGCATGCTGCAGTATATTTTAAATTTTGACTTAACTATTTAATAAAGGGGACTATTAAATATTTATTGTGGCCTAATGGCACTGTGATTGTTATTGTCCTAGTGTCCTTAGAGACTCAAAAATTATTGAGTCTCTAAGAAAACTAAACCAAGAAAGTTTGGGGATCTCTGTTCTAAGTCCTTTACCATCTTCATTGCTCTTCTCTGTGCACTTTCCAGTTCTAAGCTGTCCTCCTTAAATTGTGGTGAGTCAAACTGGAAAAATATTCCAGGTGGAGTTGACCAGTGCGGCATATAATAGAACTGCTTTGTTTTGATGAATGAAAATGTTTCTTAATCCTTCTTAATAGGTTTATGAGAGAGATCTCATATTAATTGTTATTTGGCCATGAAACTGAATCTGTGTTTCTTCTGACAATCACCTTTTGTCTCAAGAGTACCTTCAGTATGTAAACAAGAAAAAAAAACCTGAAAGAAATTGGTATTAACTTGATCAGGCACATTTGATATAGTGACTAGAATTTAATGTAATTTCAGATACAAGAGGGAATGGGAAGGTGAAGAGAAAGTAAATAGTATATTCAATTTATGATGGGTATATTCCCTGGTGAAAATAAGATTTTAATCTTTTGAAGTAGTAATTTTTAAATTTCTGTAGTCTGATAATTACAGCAAGGATGAAATGGTGAAAATAAAAGAAGAAATCAGTTCTCTACAGGATAATGTATTTCAGGAAATATATAAGGAACAAGAAGAATATGTAAGTATTCAGTTATATTAGGATGTATGAAAAACTCATTTTCTGATCCTGAAGTTCATTTTAGTTAATATATGGTATAATGCCTATGAAATTAAGACAGATGTCAGTCCCTTCATCTCAAGCAAAATTGTGGCCTTCTGTGTCATATAACCCAAAGACTAGTAGAGCCAAATTATACATATTTTTCATATTTATAAATAGATATAAATAAAACAGAAAAAACTGAACTTTTGTTCATGTTCCTCCTAAATATATGTCCAGAGGGAAAAGTTGAATATCTCGGTCAATATTTTAATTTATTTACATAAAGAATTTATGTGGATGTCTATCTCATCCTAGTGACTCTGGGCACTAGGAATACAAAAAACACAAAATAGAAATAGAAGAAAATAAATAATTTTTTCAATTTTAATGGATATATTATCTGGTGCAAATAATATTTTAATCTTTTGAAGTAATTTTTAAATGTATGCAATACTATCTGATGAGTACAGAATAGCAAAAATAAATACAATGCTACTGAGTCTGCAAACACGGTTCAGATAAAATACACCTCAAAACATACATATTGGCCTCAGCTAATATCCTGATCACAATGCCTGGGAGAAGAATCAAGTCTTCAGACTTTCCAAGAGTTACTGTGTCAGGGCCAACTGAATCTCAGCGGGAGGCTGTTCCATTGTACAGATTAGAGAATTGCTCTCTGGTTTACCCCAAGAATCTTTGGCATTTTAAAAGTGTCCTATTATATGGAACTGTAAATGGCAATAGATGGAAAGTAGATATATTTTAAAGAAGTTGACTAAGGATCAGAACTCATGACCGTTTTTCTCTAAAAAACTGCCTTATTTGGGGAACAAAGCTAGTACAGGGTACTACCACCTATATACAGGGATATTTTTCCTCCTTTGTTTTTGAGAATCAGTTTATTACTAGATTTAGTGTCAGTTACCATCACGAAGAAGCTAACGGTTCCCTATCTTGTTATAAACTCAAATAAAATGGGGTTTCCACCTGGTTTTGTTCTTAAAATTACAGACAAGAATGGTTGATTGTGCAATTATCTATGCTTTGAATTCTCATCACATGCTTAGTTAAAATAGCTATAAACAAGTAGAGATGCTGCTCTACCAAAGAATGAAGACACAAGTGGAGCTATGATGATGCCATTTGTTTGGGACAAAAGAGTTGCTACAGAACCAGAAAGTTAAATCTTCTGCATTGAAGGTCCATGAATATTTTACCTGCTGATTGCAGAGTCATCGTTGTGATACTACAGAAAAAACATGCTTCCAACATACTGCTGGATGTTGTTTTAATATTGTAATTGTTACTGAAGACTTTTTTTTTTCTAATATAGGAAAAGCTTAATCATCTAGTTCAAAAACGTTTCCCTGAGCTGCCACTCCTTCATCCTGAAGTAGGAATTTTGAAGTATATGGTAAAGTTTGTGTTTCCTTTACAAAGCTAAGATTGATTCAAGTAACTTTGACAAAAGGTCTATGATGCAAAACTGAGAATAAGCTGTTTTAATACATATTCTCCAGAACTCAGGAGGTTTGACTGTCAGTTTAGAACGTGATCTCTTAAATGCTGAGCCAATGAAGGAACTGAGCATAAAACATCCTGTGATGTGTTCCACAATTCAAGGACAAAAGGTTCTCCTGAAGGTATGGTTTCTGAATGGTTAGCTTGTCGTCTTCCCCCCCCCCCCAAAAAAAAAATTACTGCTAAAAAAAGACAAGCCTTTAGGTAGGTTTAGGAAATATTAAAATAGCCGGGCTTATTTTGGAGCTGGTAACTACATTTATATAGTGGATATAAAAAGTCTATAAACTGAGATGTAAAAAAATCAGACCAAGATAAATCACTTCAGAATTTTTTCCATCTTTAATATAACATATAATAAGCTGTATAGTTCAATTGAAAAATAAATCTTTTGTGGAAAAGGTAATAATAAAAAACATGGTTGCATAAGTGTGCATGTCCTTAAAGTAATACTTTACTGAACTACCTTTTGATTTTATGATAGTATTCAATCTTTTGGGCTAGGAGCTTATCACATGGCACCTCTTACTCTGGGAATCTTTGCCCACTTTTCCTTGGAAAAGCATTCCAAACCTATCAGATTGCAAGGGCATCTCCTGTGCACAGTCCTCTTCAACTGACTTCACAGATTTTTCATTGGATTTCAGTATGGACTCTGGCTGGGCTATTCCAAAACTTGGATCTTTTTCCAGTGAAGTTATTCTTTTGTTGATTTGGGTCATTGTTGTGTTGAAAGTTGAAATTCCTCTTTGTCTTTAGCATTTTAGCAGCAGCCTGAAAATTTTGTGCCAGAATTGATTGATATTTAGAACTATTCTTAAGTCCCTTTAAGTCCCTTTGCCTTGACTAAAGACCCAGTTCCAACTGAAGAAAAGCTGCCCCAAAGCATAGTACTGCCACCACTATGGACTGTGGATATGGTGTATTTTTGGTGACATGCAGTGTTATTTTTGCATCAAACATATTGTTTGAATTACGGTGAAAAAAATTAGCCTTGGTCTTAGCAGACCATAACACATTTTTCCACATGCTTTTTCAGACTTGTGTATGGGAGATTGTTGCCACATGTAATACACAATCAGTACTTGCTAGAAATCCCTGCAACTTCTTTAATGTTACTGTAGGCCTCATGGCAGCTTCACAGATCAGTTTTCTTCTTGTTTTTTCCCATCAATTTTAGAGGGAAATCCATTTCTTGGAAATTGATGATGCCATTTTTTCCCATTTGTTGATGATTATCTTCCCTGTGTTCCATAGTATAGCCTAATGGATGCCTTCCAACAATGAGATCCTATTGATGTCTTATAAGCTCTTTGCAGACTATGGCTTTTGCTTTAAGAGACAACTGAGTAAATGTCAGAAAATTCCCACTAGAACAATTAAACTTTATATGGGCTTGATCAGAGCCACTTTAATTAATGACAGGTATGTATTGACTACTTTTTAACATCGGTTTGAATGTGATTACAGCCACATCCCTAGGGTATGCGTACTTATGCAGCCAAATTATTCTAGTTTTGCATTAGTGTTTTTCCCCCTAAAAGATTTCAATTTGTTTTTTATTTGTATTGTACAGCTTATATGTTATGTTGAAGGTGAAAAAATTCTGAAGTGATTTAACTCCTGAGTTTTACATCTCAAAAACATGGCATTTAAATGGATGTGTAGACTTTTTTTATCCACTGTAGTTCAAGTTCATTTTCTTGGGTAGCTAAACTGAACTATCTGGTTTTGCCTTTTGAATATGGAGAAATCAGCAATTTAAATCCACTTTTCAGAGAGCATGCTGGCTGAGATTTCTGACAACCATCCCATTTTAAAAAGCTAATTACTACGGCAACTTGAAATAATGGTAAAGCTTATTTCTAGTTCTAGCTCTGCCCGTTTTAGCAGTCACCATTCCTGTGTATTGACTTGGCAGGTCTTGAGGATCATCTGAAAGTTGACACACATCCTAATCTTGATAAAAAGCAGCTTAGGATAGAGAAGATGATATATGTCTTTGGATAACTACCTAGAAATTACGCATGTGTTTATTTAGATTATAGACTACAGTTGTTGCCAAATGTAATTCCTCTCCTATTCTTATCTGTCCTTCTAGTTGTCATTGTTCTGAAAGTAAGAAACACAGTATTATTAGAATACAGTTATTTTCATTTGGAAATTGTGGGCTATAGTGTGTACTTTATTATTCAAAAGCAATAAAGATTCCATTGATTAATTCAGAAAATAGAAACATTTTTCGGCAGAAATGGTTCCCTTTTTCATATTCTGGGAAATAGTTTAATAATCTCACAGAACAGTTTTTTACTTACCCGAATTTACCTTTTCAGGGATATATTGTGGATATGAATATTGAAACTCAAATAATAGAAAGAGCAGCAAAGTATCACAAAGTTTGGAAAGAATTAAGGGAGGAATCTTGTTTAATGCAACCAATGTTCCTGTTTTTATGCAAGGCAAGTTGTACATTGAAGTGTATTTTTTTCCCTATTTTACTTCTGCGTAAAAAGTTCAAAGATCTCATAAAGAAATCCTTTCCCTGCTTTAAGATAAGACTCTTTAAATTTATATAAATGATATAAAGACACAAATAGGAAAGTGTTTCATTGGCATGATATTTGATGTTTTCTGTTCCTGCACATAAAACTTTTGTTTTTATTTGTTAAGTCTGATCCTATGGTATATCTAATGATTCCATACTATGCTGGAGCAAACCTGGGGACATTGCAGATGACAGCACCTTTAACCCCACAAGTAAGTAATCACCTTCTTGAATTTCTAAACCAACCTTTTACCCTTGCATTCCTTAGTTTGTTAGGTCCACTAGCTGGGGAATTCTGGGAATTGCCATTCTAAAATATCTAGACATTAAATTTGGAAAAAGCTGTTCTAATCAGCGAATGCAGGTTTTTTTAACAGATTATATTATCTATATCTTCCATAGCTAAATTTAATCAAAGTAGCTCATAGTTGACATTAAAACTGTGTATTTATAGTTGGAAAGCTTAAGAAGCATGCAAATAGTTTTTATGGGTTTTCTATAGATACCTGGGATGTATTTTTTTGCTTGTATCATTTTTGTTTAAAAATACTGCCTTTAACAAATTAAATTTAATATCGAACATCATCAATCTCTTTGCGTAAATGAATACATTGGTAACTTCAAAAATATACTTCAGATGTTCCTATACTATATTGATTGATATAGTATACCAGGGCTTTTCAACTGGTGGTAGGCATACTACTGGTGATACGTTGGCACCTGGCAGGTGGTATGCATACGACGGGTTGAAAAGCACTGAAAAAAAAGTGTAAAAAAAGTGTAAAAGTGGATGAGGTGAAGCGGCGGCAGCGCCGCACAGGTCTGGGAGAATCAGCTGGAGCTGCGCGAGGTGTTGTCTGGGTCCTACTGAGAGCCCAGGATTGGCACATGCAGCTACAGCTGATTGGCAGCAGGTATAGGATCTTTTGCCTCCTATCCTTTGCCATACCTCCTCCTCCTTGAGCCTTCCGCTTCCACCCATTTGCCTCCAGCATTTCTCCTTGGAGCAGCACGTGATTGCTAATAGGTGATTGCAGGAGCTTTGGGGGGAATGCGACTTCTGCGGTTGAAGTGGGGGCATGGGGGGCATGTTGGAGTGCTAGTTGGCTATCCCCCCAAAGATTTCCTAACCTTAAAACAGCTCTTGGGTGGCAACAGTTACCCAGCACAGGGGGGCTCAGGAGAAAGAGATGCCAGAAATGCTAACTCCCAAGACTGAAGGGCTCAGAGGCAGCTACAAGCAGGGGAGACAGAGAGGTGGGGGGGGGGGCAAAGAAAGGAAATCAAACCTGATTGACAGGGAGCGTAGTAACCCTGCTCCTACTCTGCAGAGGGCAGGTCCCCATCATCCCCAGTGCAGCATCGTTGCAGAAAAAAGAGGGGCTCTGGTGAGGGGCAGGATTACGTTTTTCAGTGCCAACTTCAAACAGCCACTAAGCAAACTGTTGTAAGTCGAGGACTACCTGTATTTTATCACTTTTTTTTCATTTTTTTTGGTCATCAAGTTTTTGACACCTTGGTAGGTGACTGGTGGTACTCGAATATTGCCATATCCTAAAAGTAGTACAATCGGTGAAAAGCCCTGTAGTATACTATACTGATTAATTGGCTGTTGAATATGGAATATTCAGAGAGTTTTCTCCATTATTCCTCTTGATCTTTGAATGTATGTATGTGAGTATTGTGGATGTATTCAGTGTCACACTTTGTTTTTAATGTTCTTTACAAGATGCCTTTTTTTTTCCGTGACTGATTATTGAATTTGCTGGCTGGCTTGCTCTTTACTCCTAGCCCAATGCTTATCCCAAACAGCATTTTTTCCTCTTTCAAGAAATAACCATCAAGAAGTAAATGCAAGCTTCCATCATCCCCATCTACTTTCCCCCCAAAGGCTGATTTGTGCCTATGTAGGATATCCTAGCCCTACTGAAGCAGTCTGGCCAAGAAAAAGGAAGAGGTTGCAGTCACTCCCTTCTGACCTCCTTAGTAGCTGAGCAATGTGATTTTTTTTTTAATGTACTGTACACCTATTAGTTAATTGTAGGAGGCAAAAGCAATATTGATTTCAGATTCTCATATTGTAGAACCCATATTTAATGTATATTTTTGCTGTAAAATTGATCCTAGTTAGCACTTTGCCCCATTTTGCTTTCCAGAGAATAAAAAGATGTTAGAAATGTTATACTTAGAACTCCCATCTTATCCCTTGTCTAGCCATTAGCAGAGGGGGTAATCTCCTTCCCCAGAAGAATGATGGAGGAATGAAAAAAAGGATTCTGTTCTATGGCCTCCAACATAGTTTAAACAATTATTAATTTTTAAAATAATTGTTGACAAAATGTTTTTCACCTTTGAAATCCGAATTAATTGTCCTATGCTACTGAATGAAGCCTAGGAAAATTAATGCTTTATAGGAAACTATAAATTCAGTTTGATAGAAGTTTTGAAAGTAGTTTTTTCATTGGATGTGTAATAAGCATTTTTTGAAATCCTTCCGGGAATATTTTGGCACTGATCTCATAGGATCTTTCTTTTATCACTTTAGGAAACATTAAAAGTAATGAAAGGAGTGGCACGTGGTCTGTGTGCACTACACAAAGCTGATATAATTCATGGATCATTGCATAAAAATAATGTGTTTGCATTGAACAGAGAACAGGGAATTGTTGGAGATTTTGATTTCACCAAATCTGAGGTAAAATAATATTTTCATTATAAATAAATAGGAATTGCACAGTAAATTAATAGCCAAATACTACCACTTTTTGGATGTGTAAAATCCAAGGAATTTGAAGAATTACTCAGTTTAGTATTTTGATCCTGGCATGTTGTTTTTATTTATTAGCAAAATATAACAGAGAAGAATAAATTCTTCAGTGGCAGTATGATAGGGCCTTCCAGAAAAGTAACAAGATGGGGGCCAATTTTATCTTTAGGGTAATTATATTCCGTAAGGAGGGAACCATCACAGAGAAAGCCCTATTTCTTAGTCTCAGCAGATGTATTTCCGTAATGGATGGGATAAGCAACATAAATTGCCTTCTTGCCCTGGAGAGCTGGGTGGATGTAAATGTGGAGAAGAAATCTTTCAAATAAACTGGCCCCCAGCCATGTAGGGCTTTAAAGGTGATAACCAGCATTTTAAGTTGCACCTGGAAGCAAATTGACAATCAGTCCAATTTTCCCAAAATAGCTGACACATGCAAATCTAGTCTTTTGCAAAAGTTTGTAAGCTGTTAGAGTTTGAACCAACTGAAGCTTCATATTCTTCAAGAGAAGCCCCATATAGAGCTCATTACAAAGTCCAAATGAGGTGACCAGGATAGAGGTGACTGTGAGAAGGACGGATTGGTTCAGGAATAAGCATTACTAGCATATAATCCACAATTGTACAAAGACCCTTATAATCTTGATTATCACCTGCACCTCAAGCTGGAGTTGCAAGTCCAGGACAATCCCCAGATTACATACCCATTCTGCTTGGGGCAATGCAACCTCATCCATAACCAAAGATAGTAATTCACCAAGAACTAAGGAGACCTGAACCGAAACTCTCTTGATCTTAGTAGGGTCCAATTTTAGTCTGTCCTTCCCATCCAGATCTTTGGGCACTGAAAGAGAGTGGTTGTGGCATCGCTGAACTCACTATGGGCAGAGATACATAGTTGAACATCATCAGCATATTAATGATATCATACTCCATGGTGATAGATGATCTTCCCTTCATATAGATACTAAAGAAGCGGAAACAGCACATATCCTTGCGGGAATCGGGCCAAGGGTCGGGATTCTTGCTCCCAGCGAACACTGATGAAAAATGTAGAAAGGAAATAAAGCAAGATATCACAGTCTCCTCCTCCCCCCCCCCAAAAAAAACCCCCTCGGAGCTATTCCAAAAGGTTATTATGGTCAGTGGTATCGAAAACTGCTGAAAGGTCAACTTGAGAAAGGATAGATGTACTATTCCTGTCCTGCTCCCCCTAGAGAGTGCGACCAATACTGTTTCCATCCCATATGCAGACCAGAATCCCAGGAAAAGTTCAGATAATATGCTTCAGCAAAGATCCTCTGGAGCTGCAGCACGACTGTCTTCTCAACAACCTTTCCCAAAAGGAGAGGCTGGAGACAGGATGAAAATTGTCCATCAGGGTGGGATCTAGTAATGACTTCTTAAGAAGGGGGTGAACCACAACAGCTTTAAAGAACTGGGGTAGGACCATTTTCCAAGGAAACATTCACCACCTCTAGTACTCACCCATGTGTCACCTCCTGGAAGTCTTCTATCAGCTGTGGGGAGACAGATCTAATAGGTGGCCAAGCTCACATTTCCTAGAATCCTGTCCACTTTCTAAGGAATTACAGGGTCAAACTATTTCCCAATAATGAGGCAAGAACCTTCCGAGGGCATCTCCATTGGACTGATGTCCATGCCTACATGGACAATTGTGGACACATCCAAGTGACTTTATCTGTCAGAAAATCAGCAAATTTCTCAGTGTACCCTTGCAAGTAGTTCTCCAAGTCCTCATTTATGAGGACTCATGTCATCTTAAAAAGGACCGCTGGGCGATTATCTGCAGATGCAATTTGTGCGAAATATTTTTGCTTCATTGAATGAATTGCCAAAGGTAGACTTTAATAGCAGTTCTTACCTATGTTCAATTGAATTTGTTCTTCATTTCTACTAGTGGTGCTCTAGTCTAGATGTCTTAATCTCTTTCATTTATCTTAGTTCTTCTGTGTACTAAGAAGAATGCTGAGATCCACAGGTCGAGAGGCTGCTTGGGTGTAGCTGTCTAAAACCTCAGTCATTCTCTTATTCCAAGAAGTGACAAGTATGCAGCAGATTCTCAGTTATAGCACCCTCTCCTTTTGAACCAGTCAGCTTTATTGGTTGCATGGGAGAGACCAATTTAGTAGATCTTGCCTCCTTGTGAATGAGTGCAGCCTGGAAATACGCATAGCCACAAAATTATTATCTGACCATTACGGGGCACCAATTCCAGGTCATAAGGGCATCGCTCCAAGAAGAATACCAAATTGGGTGTGTGATCTCTGTTTCTTGGAAGGCCTAAATTCCCACACTACCCCTGACCCCACTCCCAAGGAAGGCAGATTGAAGTCCCCCAGGGGGACTTAACCTAGGGAACTCCACCACTAACTCTGTAATAAAGTCTAGGAGCTCAAGTAGGGAAACTGTTATGTAGTAGGGAAGCTGGTATAATAGCAGCAATCTCAACTGGTTCCTAGAAACCATTGTAAGAAAAAAAGTCTCCCACCCAAGCATTTGTGGAGACTTTGCAGCCAGAGTGTCTTGGATAACAACAACCATGCCAGCTCTCCTTATTGCAGGCTGACCTGGCATTTAAAAGCAATAGCTTAAGACCTGCTTTGCTGTTCATCTGCTGACCAGCTAAAGAGGCTGAGTTTAAGTCTCCTGCAATTGTATCTCCCATACCTGACGCCACCGAAATATAATATCTGAATAGCATCAATAGCAGTAGACCTCATATCCCAGACAATGGGCTCAATATGGCTGGAGATAAGAGTCAAAGCCTCTATATAACCTCTGGATTGTTTTACTTTCAGAGCAAGCGTGCTTTGTCAGATTTTATGACTTTGAATGGCTTGAGCTTAATTTCCCCTGAACTAAGAAATGGTCAGCCACCTTCTCCAGCTTCGGATATGTATGTTTTTGGTTGTCTGCTTTACTGGGTATGTAAATCTTTGGTCACAGGCATTGCTGTATCGCAATATGATGCATCTCACTTCTGTTTTGATAACTTTGTGTTTGTCTAAGGATTTATATGGTGCTTCTTAGAGCAGGGCTTTTCAACCTGTGGTATATTAGCAAGTGACAGGTGGTACACGGCCCTGCCAAGTGTAGTGGAGGAGGGAACGAGCCAGCGCAGGGCAGGACTTACTGTGAGAGTCCTCTGGAGCTGCAGGGCTGCTGGGGTGAGGCAAAGGCCCCAGGCTCACTTCTGGCTCACCTGGATGGGAAAGGAGGAGGAGGGGGTTGGAGACAGGCTATAAAAGGAGGCAGTTTGGTTGGGAGAGGGAGAGGGGGGAAAAAAGCAGCCTTGGGAGGGGGTGGAAATCAAGCAAGTCGGCCATGAGCCAATCTACACCTTGTGGCAGCCATCCGTGCTGGCAGCAACAAACAGGCAAGAAACGCAGCGGGGGAGTGGTCGCCCTCCATAAGGAATGAAGAAAAGCAGCATCTGCTGGAGGTGAGGCAGGGAGGGAGATCGAGAGTGGAAGGATTCTTATGTGCTTTTGTGACTTTGGAGTTCTGGGATTTGTGCAATGTGGGCTTTGTGTTCTTAAGGAGTGTTTGGCAATTTCTATTTGGCTGATGGCTGATGTCTGGTGTTAGCTTCTGTTGCTCTGCTATTGTTAGCTGTAAATTTTGCTGCAAGGGATTTTGAAATATTTTTCTCCTGAATGGATTTTTCCTGTAGCATTCCTTTACTTATGAATGGAGCATTTGGGGAGGCTGCCTTAGCCGGCAGCCAGTACTTACTACATTTGTTTTTTTTCTTTCTTAAGTGCTGGCTGCTGGCTCCTTAACTTTCTTTCTAGCCAGTAGCTAATTCTTAAAGGGGAATGTACTCTTTTAACCTAGTTCTCTCAGCACTTGTCTTTTCTATCTCTGGAGGCTTTTCCTTGTTTGATGAATATATGAAAGAGGGAAAATATGGGAAGGTGTTTTCAAATTCTTCCTTTAGAAGGAGATGGGAATGAGAAAGAGGGAGGCAAGGAAGGAGGGAGGGAAGTCCCGCCTTAGCACTTGGCCACTAGCAGCCCTGCCATTGACTTTGCTTGTCAAAAGGTTGCAAAAGGGGATCACATGACCCTGGGACACTGACCATCATAAATATGAATCAGTTGCCAAGCATCCAAATATAAATCATATGACCCTGGGCATGCTGCAATGGTCATAAGTGTGAAAAATGGTTATAAGTCATTTCAGTGCAATTGCAACTTTGAACAGGGTTTTTTTGGGGTCATCAAGTTTTTGACACCTTGCTAGGTGGTACTCGAATATTGCCATATCCTAAAAGTGATACAATCGGTGAAAAGCCCTGTCTTAGAGAAGATATTAAAAAAATAATGGTAGTCAATGTAATAGAATGAATATTTGAAAATTAAAGTATTATAGTTTTCATAATTATTAAATCAAGTTGTGTTTACTGCACTTTTTTGTTATACTGTTGGTAATCTTACCAGTTGAGCCAGGAATGTTCATTTTAGGCCAGCTTGATTTCTAAATGGAATTAGTGCATGCCAAAGAAGCCTAACATAGGAAAAAGAAAAAAAAAAGTGGATAGGAGAACAGAACCAGACAAAGAGTATACAGGAAATTCAGTGCTGAGTGAATGCAGATTGGGGGGGGGGGGAGAGAGAAAAAGTTTGGGCAGTGCAATGTTTAGTTTATTGATCTTTGGGAATAATTTTGTAATCTTTTAAATGTGCAGCTATTTATTGGAAAGCAAGAATTGAAAACAAATGAAGATGGAACTCCTGAAATTGATGGCTTAGATATGGTATGTTTTTTTCCAACTGAAATATTTCAGATTATATGCAGAATTGGCTGTTTTTTAATGCATGTTAAATAAAAAAAATTAAGACATGTAAGAGTATAGTGACATAAAGTGACAACTATTTATACAAAACCTTTCAAAACATTTTCATATTGCTGATCTCCAGGACAATGAAAAGATCGGTATAAAGTATGAAGAACAGAGGGCCACGTATTGTTCAAGTATTGCTAACTAATTTGATTATTTCACATAATTGCAAGGATTGGTTCTGGAAGAATGAAATATAACCAAAATGAATAGAAAACTGGAGCAATCACTGGAAAAAGATTACACTCTCACTAATCACATAACATTCAATGCTGTTCAGAATGTGAATAATTTTCTTATTTTTTTAATATCACAAGAACTTGGATGATCCAGGGTTACGGTATCATGGTTTATTCTGCTTTTAAAAGGATTAGATAAACTCATAGATTAAGGTCATCAATATTCATAGAGCAGTGATGGCGAACCTTTTAGAGACCCAGTGCCCAAGCTGCAACCCAAAACCCACTTATTTATCACCGGGTGCCAGGTGGGCATTGCTGCAGTGGTCATGGCAGACTAGGTGGCAGGGCCAGGGTGGCGCAGTCCAGTCCTTCGCCATCTCTGGGCATGGCACGTGTGCCCACAGAGAGGGCTCTGAGTGCTGCCTCTGGCACGCGTACCATAGGTTCGCCACCATTGTCATAGAGATTGTAAATGTATCAGACTTTGTATGCCTCTCCTTTGGAAATTGGTATAAATCTGGGTAAACCTATTTTGCAAGATTGGTACATTTTATTTGATAAAATCAAATTTATTAAAAGAAATATTTTTAAAAAATCAAATATAAAAGTTTATTTAAATTTAAATAACAAAATATAAATATTCAATGCTAAGAAAAAATATAACTTATGAAGTTACCCTGTTCATGTGGAAACAAAAACTGGGTTGCCTAGCTAAAGAACAATTTAAAAGTGTAAGACATAGTTCCAATTAGATTATAAAATAGAGACAGTACCATCTTGCTAAGAAATTATATTATCTGAATTACATGCAAAATCAGACTTCCTGACTCCTCCCCGTTGCTAATGAGAGGATTGGAGTTTCTTTTGATAACAAGGAGAAGCTGCTAAATAAGAGGTGGATTGTAACACCTCAGGTGAAGTAGAAGCAGGGGAATATCTGTTTCAGAGGTTATTTATATAATATAATTATCCCTCCTGCAGATAATTTTCAGCCTGAGGTGAATGAATGTCTGCAGTCTGCCTGACATATGGAGTTCACTGTACTGGGAACACAAGTTGTTTCTACAATAAGCCCCATGTTTTATTGGTATGGGGCATATCATTGGGGTTCAGTCTCAAATTCAGTGCTTGATATCTCTGTGATGCCCCTTCTCCCACAAAAAATCTAAATTAAATACACCAGTGCTTTCAATAATATTTTCCCCATTTGCATTTCAATTTTGTTTCTAGCTGTTAATTTATAACAGACTTCTTATGGCAGCAGGCTAGAAAACAGGAGACTGTGAGTTCTAAGGTTGACTCAGCCTTCCATCCTTCCGGGGTAGGTAAAATGAGGACCCAGATTGTTGGGGGCAATGTAAAATATATATATATACATTGCTTACTGGTGTACACTGCTTAGAGAGTGCTTGCACTTAAAGCGGTATATAAGTCTCATAAATAAATAAATAAATAAATAATCATGAATTAGCCTGAAAGCCATCTGGATGACCTTGGCTGGTCACTCTTAGCCCAACTCACCTCACAGGGTGGTTGTTATGGGGAAAATAGGAGGAGGAAGGTATTTTGGAATGTTTACCGCTTTGAGTTGTTTATATAAATAGGGTTATTGAATGAATGAATAAATATTAGTCCCAATTATTAGGACTAATAGATTTTTTTGTAACTCTTGGCTAATATAAGCCCTACCCCAAAAATAAATCCTAGTTTTGGGGCGAGGTACAAACCTAAAAATTAAGCTGGCGTAGGGGAGATGAAGCTGTTCGCCAGCACCTGTTTACCTTACCAGTAGGACTGTCACAGCCAAGCCTCTCAAGTCCTGACACTTGTAAAGCCCCGTGGCTCATCACGCCAGTGCTACCGCTTGTGGCAGGAAGTTACACAGAGCTGTCCATTTCCGCTGCTTGCGGCAGGACACGTGGCACTTTGGGCCATCTCTGTTGCTCGTGACAGGATGCCGCATGGTGCTTAAGGCTGTTTCCACTGCTCATAGTATGACACTGCGTGGCTCTTTGGGCCATTTCCGCTGCTTGCGACAAGAAGCCGTGCGGTGCTTTGGGCTGTTTCCGCTGCTCACGTCAGGATACTATGTGGCTCTTTGGGCCATTTTGGCTGCTCGTGGCAAGAAGCCGCATGGCACTTCGGGCCATTTCTACTGCTTGCAGCAGGACACTGCATGGTTCTTTGGGCTGTTTCCGCTGCTCGCGGCAAGAAACCGCATGGCGTTTGAGCTGTTTCCACTGCTTGTGGCAAGATGTTACGTGGCTCTTTGAGCTGTTTCCACTGCTCGCGGCAGGATGCTGCATGGCCTCCTGCCACGAGTGATGGCAATGGCCCAAAGAGCCATGCGGCTTCTTGCTGCAAGTGGCAGCAATGGCATGAAGCACCATGTGACCTCCTGCCATGAGTAGCAGCAATGGCCCAATGTGCCACATGGCATCTGGCCACAAGTGGCAGCAAACAGCCACTGAAGAAGTCAAGCAGCGGTGCTATAGTGTCAGGGTGTGGGAGGCCTGGCTGTAGTGGTCCTAAAGTAAAACATCCCCCCAAATTAAGACCTAGTTCCTCTTTTGGAGGCAGAAAAAATATAAGACTGTCTTATTTTCGGGGAAACATGGTAATATGCAGAAAAGAAATAGTCAAAGCATTATCTCCAATAGTTTTTTCCTACTAATTTTTAATATTCTGACCTTTTCTTTGAAGGTACAGATAGTCCTTGAGATAAGACTGTAATGGAGCCTGCCCATTACCGTTGCGTGTCACAATGGCTGTTAAGCAAAATGGTTTCACTTAACAACCCCACGTCCTGCTTTCCTTGATGCAATTGTTAAACAACCATGAGGGTGCACAGGGTGCCTCAGGGTAGGGGAGATCCTGGGAGGCCTACAACAAGCCCAGGTTTACTTCCCCCTGGTCTCTCAAGGCTATTCCCACCCTCTGAGGCATATCATGCTCTGCTTCACATCCCTCAGTGTCCCTGCAGTCCTTCAGCTTCCTTCCCATCCAGTGAAAAGGGAGATCAAATCATCTGGAGCTTACAAATCTCCAAAGCCTTCTCACCCAGCAAGCAAGGGGACATTAGGCCATACTCAGTTCACAAACTCCAGGAAGTAAGGGGAGATCCCACCCAAGGACTTACAGGACTCTGCTTGCAGTTCAACCTTTTTGTGTTTTGCAGGTTCTAACAGAGGCATCCAACCCAATATAGGATCAGTTTCTTACAGATCCATTATTTTGGCAATTTCATGCTATTTTGTAACAGGTTCTATTCTCACAATTCTGTAGAGGTTTTTTTTTTTTTTTTTTTTTAAGGAGGCACAATTTTTAAAGAGGTTCCATTTGTTCATGGAGTTTACAGAGCCTCCTTAAAAAGGGATTCCTCTGCAGGTGTGTAACACCTGCTTTATTTGTATGTTTTTGACTCCTGGTTCACTTGCAAGATATTTTAACCATAATTTAGACATAATTTAGTGTCACTATATATGATATCCAGGCATGTTGAGGTTTGTCCTCTCTGGATTCAATGCTCTTAGCTGTTGGTTGTACATATAAAAGTCTCCCTATTAGTGCTATTTTCTTTTTTTATTGTTCTGCATTTCTATTTTATAATACTTTTTTTCCCAGTGAATTTGCAGTTTACAACAATAATATATTAAAGTTATATCCCACCTGATTCTCTATAACTCTGGGTGGCTAATAACAATCAAGTAAAGAAATTACAGTAAAATCAATAAAACATAAAGATTAAATATGGCAAAATAACAGATCAGAAGGAAGCCTCTCACTCTCTTTCCTTCACTTGAGTGAAGAGTTTTTGTTTTCCTAAAATAGATAACCTTTATTGTCATTTTTTACTGCGGGCACACTGGCATACATTAAAAGTGAAATCTGTTGCCTGTTATCAAAAGTGTACACATACATAACAAACATGTAAACATGCTATATGTGACATGTATATACCTACACCCTTACACATAAATAACATATAAATATTAATTACTGTCCATTTTGAATACATAATGGAAAGAGGAAACGTGAGAGTTCACAAGGTTGATGCTATATGGAACAAGACTGTGACTGAATCTGGCTGTTCTGCTTTGGATACCACGAAGCCTCTTCCCAGAAGGTAAAAAGGAAAACAGGTTGTGAAGAGGAAGTGTAGTGTCCCAGACAATCCTGTGGACCCTGCTCAAGCAACGCTTATATGCTATGTCCTGTATAGAAGGGAGTGAACTGCCAATAATCTTTTCTGCCATCCTCACTACTCTCTGCACCACCTTCCTGTCTGAGGCAGTGATGCTTCCAAACCAGACTGTAATGCGATATGAAAGGATGCTCTTGATCATTTCTCTATAGAAATTAGTAAGGACAGGAGAAGGAAGATGTACTTTTTCATGTGACGCAGAAAATGCAGGTGCTGCTGTGCCCACTTCACAAGTGTCTTGCTGTTGAGCAACCACACCGGCCTACTCATTAGCTGCATTCCCAGAAATTTGACGGTGCTAACTGCTCCACAGGCGAATCATTAATACATAGAAGAGCATGCCTATGCCTGTCTTTTATGAAATCAACAATGATCTCTTTAGTTTTTCCAACAGTTAAAACTAGACTGTTTTTCTTATACCAGTTCACCAAATCCTCTACCTCCTTTGGTAAGCACCCTCATTGTCACCTTGAATAAGGCCCACACTGTTGTATCGTCTGCATACTTCATAATATGGTTGGTGGCAAGCCTTGTACAGCATTCATGGGTCAACAGAGTAAACAGTGGACTTAGGATGCAGTCCTAGGGAAAAACCTGTGCTCAAGAAAATGATGTTAGAAATATTAGTCCCATGCACATACTGGGGCTTGTCAATAAGAAAATCAAGAATCCAGTTGCACAAAGGAGTACCACGTTTTCCCGAAAATAAGACCCGGTCTTATTTTCTTCTGGGCTCTGAAATAAGCACTAGGGCTTATTTTCAGGGGAGATCTTACATTACCAGTAGGTGGCCAGTGCGCAGGGGGATGGGGATGGCGTGGTCTGCACATGGAGTGGAGACATAGCATGGTGGTGATGGGCCAGCCTTTGAGCATGGTGGTGGAACAACTGTAGTATGGTAAAGGTACTGTATGGCAGAGTTCAGGCAGGTGGACATGCATGCCTTTCCTGTGCCGGGCGGGGTGGTGGCAGAAGGGTGCCGAGGCAGGGATGGCCAGGCTGATCCTCCGGGTGGAGGGGGGACTTTGCCCCAAAGATGGAATAGCTCTTTCTTTTTGAACTCATCTTGTCAGGAGTCAAAATATTCCCTTTGAATCTGCCATTAAATTAAATCATTAAACCGGGGGGGGGGTCAAACTTGATTTCATTGAGGGTTAGTGTTGGGGTAAGGCATTGCAGTTGCCTCCCCTGGGGAAGGAGTGAGGGTTAGGGTTGGGGGATGAGGGTTAGGATTGTATCGGAGTTGGAAAGCAGGGCCGTGTGGGTCAGAGGTGGGATCTGCCAAGCCTCATGTAGTAGTATTGGGCATGACATGCGATGTGTCATGCCGTGAGTGGCTGAAACCAGCCAAAGAACCAGTGGGGCAGCGTGAGAGGGTGCAGCAGGGTACCAGTAAGCAGGGCACGTGGGTCAGATTCCCCCCTCTGCCACCGGGTGTGTCTCGTCACAGCAGTCCTGGAAGCTCCCCCTCCTCACCTCGTGTTTGGCAGCAACCAGACAGAATCAGCGGGTGGCCGGTTGCACAGGATCTTAAGCTGGGCTTACTTTCGGGGTAAGTCTTACTTTTGAGGTATTAAAGCCTAAAAGGCCCAGTTTATCTATTAGGTGTAGGTGCTGAGGAATGATTGTATTAAATGCTGAATTGAAATTGACAAAAGTGCTCCAAGCTCAGATGGAAAACAAAAGAAATACAGTGGATACATTAGGGGAGTCTGCATGATGAGTTCAAAATTTGGAAGATAGTGGAGGTGACATCATCAAAGGTTTACCGTATGTGAACATGATGCCATGGCCACCATCTTGCAGATTTTGCCTCTCACCTGCAGTAGAGCAAGCAATTTGTTTTTTTATTTCAGAGATACATAATAAAATGTTAATTACTCTTTCTGCAAAACAAATATTCCCATTTATTGATTTTGAATAATTGCACTTTGATTGAGTGATGTTTCATGCTGACTTTTTCTTTCAAGGATGATAAAGTTAAATCTCTGCTTTCACAACTCCTTTGCTATGATAATCGGATGACTGCAGAACAGGTGTTGAATGCCGACTGCTTCTTGTCGCCTGACCTGATTTCAGTTCCACTGGAAAGTGAAGTGACTGAATATGACCATGGAGAACAGAGTCCAGAAGATGTGTCTGATGAAAGCCTGGATGACAAGAGTGAACCTTCATCAGATAAAGATCCAGATGCGTATATGAGTGATCAGAATGCCAGTTCACAATAAATAAGGTCAGAGTAACCTATACATCCCAAGATAGCCTTTTTCAGGAGAAGATACAAATACATCTTGAAAAATTGTATATACATATGTTTTGGTATTATTTTTTAAAAAACAAGTGGTACATAATATCTAGGGATATCAGTGTTTGACCTGAGTTATAGCTTTAGTTTTGTGAATGTTAAAATTTTCTTTATCTGCTGTCAAGTATTTTTCCCACTTGTCTTCCAGAAGTGAAAAACAACAGAATATGGGATTGAAGCTTCACATGTTACCTTAGAGCAGGCATGTCAAACTTGCAACGGGCCAGTTTTGCCATTGCCAGTAATGGGGTGGGCTTGGCTTCCATGTGACGCGTCTGGCCCATGGGCCAGCAGTTTGACATCCCTGCCTTAGAGTATTCTATAATTACATTATTTAAATTAACCAGAGCTAGTTAAGTTAACTAAGATCGGAGTATCCATAAATTAATATCTGGTATTGTTTTGGACATAATGTTGCTGAATTATTTGTAATTCTATTTCTTCTGTTCAGTTGCATGTCTATTTTTGCAATAACAGTATTACACTTATCTGAATAAAGTTTTGAAGCAAATATGTTGTGGTATTTGAATAAATTGTGATTTATAAATTAGAAGAAATTAGGTAGAGAAGATCGAAATTTATATAAGTAAGTATTCATTTATAAGAGGTGAATCTTTTGCAGTGTCAGGCTGCAACTCACCACTAGATGGAGGTCTTGGCTGTTAAGCAGCAGAGCTGAATTGGCATATTTATGAACATATGGTAAAATGCTGCTTTTGATTCAGGTTAACTGGTTGCATATATTGCTGTTTACAATTTATTATTTTGTGAAAAGGGAAAGGCTGTTTAAATATGTAAATAGATAAATCTTTTGTTTGGTTGAGGCTGTAGGATTGTATCTCGTTCAATTTTTGCTGAATTTTCAATTTTTAAAGAAGTGAATATAAATAGAATTTTGTTTTAGTCATACTATCCCATAAAATCTCATAACTATAAAAAAGGCATCTTGGTTATTCCATTTTTAAAAAATAAATATAATCTAGTTTAGAGTGAGAATAAGACACTTTATACAAAAACAAATTGCAAGACACTTACAATTTTTTTCTATGAACTAGAAAAAACTAGTTAATAACTTTAGAGTTTGCAGATTACAATTAAATCTCATAGAATGAATTGGATATCAGATAAACTATGGTATACTATAATGCCTAGTCAAATATTGCACCTCTTTGGTATCATAACCTGCATAGGGTGGCTTTACTTCTTGCTTTGTAAACATGAAACAATCTGCTTCTGCAATGGGACTAATCCACTTGGATTTCATTTTGTAATATGGCAAAACTGAGTTAATGATTAAATATTTGCTGCAGAAATAGAAAAAAAATCAGTCATGTTATTTTTCCTGTCACTGCAAAACTTTGAGAAAGATGTACTGAATACTGATTAGCATTAGAACACTCAATTCTTTTTCAGTGTACAAGTTTTTTCCAAGTCTCTGAATAACTTATTTCTATCTATAGACAGTGCATTAGAAGTACAGCAATCATGTGCTGCAAATTACATTTTTGGAATGTATTTGGGATAGGGAAAATGAATTTCTATAAAAGTATTTTTTGCATAAAAAGTTATTATTCGAATCCCTCTGCTCAGAAGTTTGCTAGAGGGCATTTGGATGATCCAGAAGAGGATTGGGAGAATGTCCTATGGTCAGATGAAACCAAAGTAGAACTGTTTGGTAGAAACACAACTCGTCGTGTTTGGAGGAGAGAGAATGCTAAGTTGCATCCAAAGAACACCATACCTACTGAGAAGCATGGGGGTGGCAACATCATGCTTTGGGGCTGTTTCTCTGCAAAGGGACCAGGACGGTACAGGAAAGAATGAATGGGGCCATGTATCGTGAGATTTTGAGTGCAAACCTCCTTCCATCAGCAAGGGCATTGAAGATGAAATGTGGCTGGGTCTTTCAGCATGACAATGATCCCAAACACACCGCCCTGGCAACGAAGGAGTGGCTTCGTAAGAAGCATTTCAAGGTCCTGGAGTGGCCTAGCCAGTCTCCAGATCTCAACCCCATAGAAAACCTTTGGACGGAGTTGAAAGTCTGTGTTGCCCAGTGACAGCCCCAAAACATCACTGCTCTAGAGGAGATCTGCATGGAGGAATGGGCCAACATACCAGCAACAGTGTGTGCCAATCTTGGGAAGACTTACAGAAAACATTTGACCTGTCATTGCCAACAAAGGATATATAACAAAGTATTGAGATGAACTTTTGATATTGACCACATACTTATTTTCCACCATAATTTGCAAATAAATTCTTTCCAAATCAGACAATGTGATTGGATTTGTTTTCTCATTTTGTCTCTCATAGTTGACGTCTACCTATGATGACAATTACAGGCCTCTCTCATCTTTTTAAGTGGGAGAACTTGCACAATTGGTGGCTGACTACTTTTTTTGCCCCACTGTAAATGTTTGCTTTGATGTTGGAAGCTTTGACATGATTATCTGGTGATATTTTCAGATATTCAGGTGGCAGCACTGAACACGAATTGTTATGGCAGATAATGTCTTGGGTTTTTCTATTGTTTATCAAAGATCTTCATCCAGATTTGCAGAGATAATAAAGCAATACAGTACATATTTTGGATTTATTGTAAATAAAACTAATTGGCATTTTACCAGTTGGTAATAAGATTATGTTTATAAATATGTAAAATAACATTTTTTTGTTCAAACTATTAGATCTATGATGAAGATTCCCATTATTATTTTGATTTTCCAGTAGATAAGAAATAAGAGTTCAGATTCTATAATACAGATTAATAATGGCCTCAAGATTGATGAACTGGGAACTATTTTATTTAGATATTTTTTTATTAGTTTAATTCATTTATGACATAAAATGTGAAAATACAAATGCAAATAGTAGAGGACAACAGTAGAAAAAGGGAAAACAAAAAAGGTGTGAAGAAAGGGAGAAGAAACAAAAGGCATCGACTTCTGACTCTCTCTGCTGCAGTAAAATCAAATCTCAACTTTCTACATTTCTATGGTAGTATGAACTAGCCATTTCTGTATCTGCTAATCAGTCTAATCGGTAAAACCCACAATTATAATATTTTTTCCTTTTCAAGCACAAGTCCAGAAGAGGTTTCCAAGTAAAAACAAAAGTACTTAATGTTATTTTCTTTTATGAGCATCACATGATACCCAAAATTCCTTGCCCACTGAATTATACAATATTTTACATGTTCATTTTCCAAATTCAATTTTAATAACATTTTATAGACTTTGGCAATTATATGATCATCACTACCACATAGTCGGATTTCAAATTCATTTTTAACAAACTCAAAACCATGACGTAAAACTTGAGGATGGAGTCTCCAGAATTGAAAGATAGATAGATAGATAGATAGATAGATAGATAGATAGATAGATAGATAGATAGATATTATAAAATTTTATTTTTAACCAACAAGACAAAACAAAACAAAACAGCACACATACACACAATATATATACTCCTCCTTTTTTTACAGCAATTACGTAACAGTAATCTAATATTTACATTTCCCCCTTCTTTAAATATTTGTCCTTACAGCCCCATTATTTTTTATTTACATTTTTCTTCCTTCATGTTCTATTTCTTACTAAGAATAATTCATATTATTATTATTATACATTATTGTACACATATTTTCACTTTTGACCTTTCCATATTCTCTATTATTTCTAGTCTCCAACCAGACATACACCTTGTTCCATACTGTATAATACTCTGTGCCTTCCTTTTATCTCTTTTGTTAATTTGTCCATCTCAGCACAGTCCAGGATTTTTCTTATTACTTCTTCCTCTGATGGTATATTCTCATTTTTCCAGCACTGTGCATATGCTATTCTTGCCGCTGTTATTATATGTAAAATTAAGTACCATATTTCTTTACTATATTTTCTATTTAAAATACCCAACAAAAAGATCTCTGGTTTCCAGTCTACAGGTTGGTCTATTATTTCTTGGATCCATTTTCTTATTGTAGACCAGTATTTTTTTGCAACTGGGCATGTCCACCATAGATGATAATATGTTCCATATACTTTTTTACATTTCCAACATGTTGGTGAATTATTCTGGAACATCTTGGCAAGCTTTGCAGGTGGAAGATGCCATTGAAAGATATTTTCAACACACTGACAAATTCTATGAAATGGTCACATGCCAATAACCATATAAAAAAAGGCATCGAATTTAAATAATTGGTTGTATTTTTTAAACTTATGTAATGTATTAAAACAGTAGTACTGAATATTACCATTATGGGCCCGTCTGTGTTTCTGAACCTTAGCAATTTTAAGATCTAGCCACCATTGGTTCTAAGCCTAGTAGGAATTCTGAGCAATCAATATTGAAGGCATTTAGACACATATGTCATTAGGTATGTAATTACAATCTCTCTCTGGAAATCAATTCTCTGGTATAAATCTTCAGTAAAGATGGAGGGAAAACCCTTTCTTTGGAAACATGAGCAGAAAATGTATAATTATTATTCATCAGTTAATTATTAACATGGATCACCAAAACCAACTGAATTACAATTTTAATTAAAACATTTGTTACATTTGTTTTGTTTAGTCCAGATGCTTTGACAGCTTCCAAATCCCTCTGAATCCATGAGACACACAAGTTAGACTTATTAAATACTGCCAACAATAAATGAATAAACCTGGATAATATGCAAGAAATGTGGAACAGAATTGGAGTATGTATGACAAAACCTAGACTGTTTGAATCTCAGCATTAAAAATGTTTCTTATATAAAAATAATTTAACAAGAAAAACCTTTAAAATCATTGGGTAGTTTAAAGTAGTTAATGTCCTTATTTTGGACATCCCAGATAAGACAACAGCTCTACAGTACCTGATAAAGTTCGGCAAAGACCCTCCTGGCCACAGTTTCCACTGCTGCTTTAGTAGCAGCTGTGAATCCAAGAAGACTCAAGTCATGGACCTGCTCCTTCAGGAAAGAAGCAACCCCATCCACTTGCTACTGGGACATTAGCTGGGGCAAGTAATTACAAATCCCCTATTCAGGTTTTGGCAAAGGTAATATACCAGAGTAACCAAAGCTGTCAGTCTCTTGCCAGGCCTGAAACCTGATTGGTAAAGGTTCACGTAACTTGTTTCCCCTAGGGCATTCTGTAATTGACCCCAAGCTATTTGTTTCGACTTTTGTCAAAAGGGGAAGATTGGAGACTGGATCCAAGGAAGATCTTTTGATGAATAGATGCAAAGAGAAGGACTGCTGACATTGTTCCATCCAACAAATCATTCACTACTTTCCAGTTTAGGGAGGTACTTATCTAAAGGAGCAAGGAAAAGCAAGGCTCTATCCTGCAGATATCCAAGGTCATCCCAGACAGTATCCATCCTAGTGTTGGGATTCAGCCAGTTTGCACCAATTTGGCAGAACCAGTAGCTAATTTTTTGTTGCCCAGGCCCAGAATGGACTTCCGGAAGTGGCATCCACGCAGAGAACAGGTTGTTCACATATTTGAATCCCACCA